ACACCCTAAAGGCAGATTAACATTTAAATTTTTTTAAAATCTGCCTTATTTCTATTGGTAGCAGCCCATGTTTTATGTCAAATTTATAGAATAGTAGTTTATAGTTGACTTATTTAATTTAAATAATACGATAGTAAAAAATGTACTAACATTTTAATTAATATTTGAAATTATTTTTTTTATTAAAGGTCCGCATATGCTTGGTTAATTTCTGATATGTTAAAATTGAGAAAACAATCTCAACCAACCAAAAGTTGTAATTTGCACATCATGCCTCTACCGTAATTTTTTTGTTTAAAAATTCATTAACGATAATAGTAGATTCAGGAGCCATTATGTAAATACTAAATTTTTTAAATAAAGTCAAGAATAATTTTTTAATAAATAATTTTTTTTAAACAAAATTTTTTTTTTTTAAAAAAAAAACACATATTTACCTATGCCCAACTTTAGGAATCCTATAAAATTGTGTATTGGGGATTTCACGATCAAGTAACTCAGCTGCTTGAATGGGAACCACTTCATCAGCTTCACCATGAATTAACAAAGTTGGAACTTTGATCATATGTAGTCTTGAAGTAAAATCAGCCTTTTTAATTGCCTCCCATTGACGTTCTGCAAATATAATAAAATTAAGTAGTTGTTTTTAATTGCTTAATAAATTTTAAGAGCTTTAATATTGATAAATATTAAATAAAAAACATATTTACTGTAAATTTCAATTGGTCTACTATCAGTAGTGTTGGCTAAGAGCTCTGCAATTTTATCAAATTTATCAGGATGTTCAAGTAGATAATCAGCAAAATTCTTTTCGCCTTTAAGAAGCATATCTTTTTGTTCCTGAATAGTTTTAGGATAGCTCATTTCTGGTAATGAAAAATTTTTATCAGCTTCTTGAAGTTTTTCTCCAGTCGGAATTCGAGCAAATCTTCAATAAATAAAAAATATTCGATATTAATTCAAAATATGAATTAAAAATCGATAAAACATCATTTATATATATACCCGCAGCCAATTACTAATTTCTCTAACTTAAGATCAGATGGAATGTTCAAGGCAACACAAAGCGCGATATTACCTATAAAAAAAATATATACATGTAGAATTTAAATTTTAACCAACATACTCAATAAACGAATATAAATATATATATCTAATTACCACCCATAGATCCTCCAAATAAGTTAAATTTTTTAATTCCAAGATGTTTAATCAATTCAATTGTATCTTGAGCCATTAACTCAATAGTGATAGGGTCAGATAGAGAAACAACGGTTGATTCTCCAATTCCACGATTATCAAATACAATTACTGATAAATGATCAATTTAAATATTAGAAACAATTTTTTATGAAAACTATGATGATACATAATTACTAATTTATAGCATTATGACATTTAGTGCTATAAATACACTAAGCATCTTAAATATCATAAAGCAATAACCGTATATCTATTAAAAAATCAATTAATAAATAGAGCAATTATCTCTAATATCCATAAGACCATAAACCTTCATACCATAACTTGAACTATGACATAATATGCTGTACGTAATGTATGCACTTAAACATGTGTGTTTAAACGTATCTTATTGGGTCCATGTATTTCAAAAATACCCCAGTAACTTATGTCAACCGAAATCTTATTTTTGATATATATATTAAACCGTTTAATTAGAAATGCGTCTCATTTCCCGACGGCCATTTCCTCTACAGGCCATTTGCCCGACATCACACAGGCCACTACCCTATGTGATAGCCGGTAAAGCAAATGATTGTCGGAGCAATGAGCAGCTAAGCGTGTTGCGTCACCGGCAAGTCTAATTCATAGTTAATAAATGTTCATATACCTTTTTGTTAGTAGAATATCCAAAGTTTTATAGTTAATGTTTCACAGTTTTATGGTTTTAGAAGTGCCATTACCATATTAATCATGTTAACAGATATACCCGATACCGATACGTACTATAGCTACAATACTAATTTGTCATTCTGATAATATTAACGAACCTTTTTGATTTTTTGCCAATTCTGATGATTATTAAAAAATAAATTATTAGTTATATATTGGTAATAAATCAATAAAAATAACAATAATAGTAATAATAAATTTTTATACCTTCTTCATAGCCCATAAAAATCTCTTTAATGCCACCACTTGATTTAACATATTTAGTTAAAAATTACGGTTAAGTTAATAAATATATTATAGGATAAAAGTACTTTATAATTATTAGATATCAATATTTACAGTCCCATGATTAGTACAAGAGGAATCTCATTTTTATTAGTTTCTGATTCGAAAATTCTGTATGCAATTTTCGATCCATCTTTTTGTTCAAAGAAGTGAGTTTTAGACATACTGTATTGTATTATACGA